GAAGGAAGGAAGGAAGGAAGGAAGGAAGGAAGGAAGGAAGGAAGGAACTCTCTAAGTTCTCCAACCACACCAAGAACATAGCCCAAGGCCTCTTTGCCCAGGAATCTGTGACACTGAGCAAGTGCTGTACCGTGAGGGACACCCCGGCCTGTGATGAAGTAGCAATTCTAAGTTCCTAGTCATTCGTTTCTAAGCAGCTTGACCATTCCTAGGGCTAAGTGTGAAGATTTCTAGTAAGTGCCAAGGTCAGAGAAATAAATTCTGCACCTGATGAGGAAGAGGGAGCAGTCTATTTTACTGAGCAGGCAGAATTCTGCGCATATGAAAAGGAGGTTAACATCTGGTTTGGATTCCTGACTCTTGGCTCTAGACCCTGCTCTTGCTATGTGAAGGGGCTCTGAGTTGATACTCTCACCTTCTGAAGGGCTTCTTTCCCTCTTATAAAGCAGGAACACCTCCCTGTCTCTCTTTACAAAGCATCCGTGAAATCCGGGGGAGGGAGGGGGGGCAGTGAAACACCCAGGTGAGTGAAAAGGGATAGCAGAGACCCTGTAAGCAGGTAGGTGTGGGCTTTTCATTTCTTACAGGCTCAGTCCTTCCGTTCCATATCGACAACATATGGGATATTTCCTATAACTAATAACCAGCAAGAAGGACTTAATAAAAAAACAAAATCAGTAGACGTCAGGAAGCCCAGAGACCACCCCCCGACTTATGCAAATAAACTTTTCTAGAAATAAACTTACCTTCTCACACGGGTCTGATTCGATATTAAAAGTTCACATCCTCCGAAGTCTCTGCCCCATTCGTGGCAGATTTCCCAGGATGGGGTGGAGGGTGGCAGGCCCAGCCCATTACAAATAATGCCCAAGGAGACTTTCTGCCTATGGTTCAAGGTTGTCTATAGCGTTTTTCAATGCTTAAGTAAACTTCCGAGATAACTTCTTTGAAAATACTGCCCTGCCACGGCCCCCCTCTGCTCCTTGTCTGATGGTACCTGGCTGGCATGCCTCTGGCAGCTCCATCACCACCTCTGCACCAGGCTTACCTCATGGAAGAGTTCCTGGGGAGACCTCTGGACCATTCTCCAGGAAGTGAGGTCCTGGGACTCTCAGGCTGGGGGCACCGCTCTGGAAAGCAAACATCACTCTTTGTCGGGCCAGCTCCTCCCTCCCTTGCTGCTGTCCGGCCTTCCTCTGCACTAAGTGAAGCCCGGGGTTAAATAGCAACCTTGTTGGTCCCATCTGGGGACTGCTCCCCATAGCCCCTTTAGTGCCCCATTCGTGGTCCAGAGCCTCCCTGCTGCTTTTTCCTGCTGTCCTGAAGCCACAGGAACAGCTCACTCACTCCTTCAAGATCGGCCGGCCGTGGGGTTAAAGGAGGTCCAGCCTGACCATTCGGCTGCCCAGCCCTTAAGGACACAGCCTCAGAGCCCCACACGGGAATCCTTCGTTCAGAGCAAGGGCATGGCCACCCCTCTGGAACCTGTGCCTGGTGGTGAGGGCAGCAAGAATGGACCAGAGGCAGAGCAGGAGCGGGAGTCTTGGAGGGTGTCCTGAGAAGCCCCAGCCTGACCAGAATGGGGCAGGTGAGAACAAGACGCCAGAAGAAAAGGAGGGAGAGAGAAGGGCTGGGGTGACCGCTCCCCATCCCGCACGGAGACGATTCCACAGACTCGAGCCGAAGAGGGGGGGAGGAACAGGGGAAGGTTCCCGTCGAGGGCTGGGTGTGGGGACGCGTCACCCCCAAGACATCGGGGGGTGGGGCTGCGGGATGAGGCCCCGGACGCCGGGGTCAGGGCCTCACGACCCCGACCGCCCTTCCCCTCCGCAGAGCGGCGCCTGCACCCTCACCTGTCCGGCCGCGGCTCCGGAGGCCACGCCCGCCCCGCCCCGCCACGTGGCCGCGCTCCGGGCCACCTGCTCCGGGCCACCCACCCCGAGGCCCCCGCGACCCCGCCCCGGCGCCCCGGCCAGCGCTGGAGCATCTGCACCCGAGGCAGGAGCGCGCCCGGGCGTGCCGGGCGGCCGGGGGCTGACCCTCAGCTCTTCAGCAGAGACCACCGAGCTCGCCCACCCTCGGGGTGAAGTAAGGTTTCCGGGGGCTCGGGTTGCCAGGGGGAGGGAGGAATCAAAAGACAGAGAGATTAAATTATCTCCCTTTTTCCCATCTGGCATAGTTCCCGAACCCTAAATAACCTCCTAGGCTTTCCATGTGGGCCTCTGAGAAACGGGAGGGCGGCTGGGAGTGCTTCCCACGCCCACAGGCCTTTGTGTGGAATCCCTAAAAATAGAGGCTGTTCTTTTACAACAAAAGGGAAGGCAGAGGCCCCGGGAACGCCGGTGGCGCCCTGTCGTCTCTTTGCTGCCCCAGCGAAGTGGCTCCTGCGAAGGTGTCTTATGTAAAGTTTGCCATCAGATCCGTTTTAACTGTTCGGTTCAGTGTGCTTAATCTCGCTCCCAGAGTTGCGCGGCCACCCAGCCTCACTACGTCCAAAACAGTTTTCATCACCCCCCACAGAAGACCCCCCTCCCCCCACGCTGCACTCCATGCACTTTCTGTCTTTTCGTCTACTCTGGATATAGCTTGCCTCCAAATGGAATGGTGCAATATTTATCATTTGGGGCCTGGCATTTTCACACTTGAGCACCACGTCCCCAAAGTCCATTCTGTGTCGTGTGCGTTGGCACTTCACTGCAAGCGAATGGGTTTTCATCTGTTTGTGGAGTTTCCTTTTTTTGTTGTTTTGTTTTTGTTTTTTGGTTTTTTTTTTGTTTGTTTGTTTGTTTTTTTTTTTTTTTTTTGGCCTTACAGTGCTGGGGGTAGAACCCAGGGCTTGTCCGTGCTGGGCTCTGTTTACAGAGTACTACCCCTGAGCTATACCCCAGCTTGCAGAGGAGTTTTAATAACCCATTTCTGCAAGAAGCAAGACCCCCACCTCCCCCAGGATGTACCACCGATTAGCCGTCTATGAGAAGAGGGTGGACAGACAGGATGACATTTTACTGACACCTACCACATGGCCATCTAGTCACCTGCTTGGCCAGGAAAGCTGTCTTCCTTCCTCACTTTTTGGGTGATACAGGGCACTTTTCTTTAATGTTGCCTTTAACTACGTTCCTGTTTGCTGTCTGTTTCCAGGGAGCCTAAGGGAAAGCATCAGCTTGAATTTTGGGAAATCTACATTTAGGCTCACATCAACCTGAGTTAACCGCAGGAGAAAAGGAAACACATCCCCTTTGTAACCACTGCTTCCTGCAGTAAGCCCTTTTCTAAATAAATAAAAAGTTTCCTTCAGGGCTGGAGAGATGGCTCAGTGGTTAAGAGCACCGTCTGCTCTTCCAATAGGTCCTGAGTTCAATTCCCGGCAACCACATGAACTAATTCCATCTTCTGGCAGGTGTAAATGTAGATTAGAACACTCATATACATAAAATAAATAAATCTTTAAAAGAAAAGTTTCCTTCAGAGCGTGTTAAGTTCTGCTAAAGCTTAGAATAAATGTGTTTGATAAACCTTCTTAACCGGCGATGTGAGCTAATGCAAGACTAAAAGCAGGTTTATCTGGAGCAGCTCTCGGCTGGGGTTGGGAGACAGACATAGAGACATACACACAGAGAGAAGTGCATACAGAGAGAGAAAGAAGGAAGAGGGAGGAGAAGAGGAGGAGAGATAGAGAGGAGAGTGAGAAGAGAGGAGAACCAAAATATCTGGTTATATAGTGAAGGTGGGGGGGGAGCCCCTAACTCTGGGCTGAAGAGTTCAGAGTAGAGGGCAGGGCATGCCAGCCATGCCCTGCAGCAGGTAGCAACTGAGGGATGCTGGGAGAGCCTGGAGCTGCTTAGCCTGGGTCTGAAGCACAACATTGCTCATGTCTCTTTTTTTGTTTTAAGGACAAAAAGAAAAACTCAGTTGTTTGCAAAGAAAAAGTATGCCCTGCTTCATGTCAACTTAACATATAACCTAAAGGAAAAATCAACAAACAAACAAACAACAAAACCCAAAACACTGGGAGTCTTTAATCCCAGCACTCCGGAGCCAGCCTAGTCTACAACTTGAGTCCTAGGGCTATTACATAGATAAACCCTGTCTCAAAAAAACCAACCAAAACAAACAAACAAACAAACAAACAAACAAACCAAAATCCCCAAAACTCTTGTGCCAAAAAATAGCATCTTGCATATTCTTAGAATGAAACATCTCCATTTCTAAGCTATCATAGTGTGTGCCTACAAGAAGGGTGTCCATTGTATCATTAACTTGTAAAGTTGAAAAAATGAGAACCTAAAGTCCATTAGCAGAAGAGTGATTGATTTAGGACAGAGCCACAGGAGGACAGACAGAGTTTGAAATCCGGGGGTTTTCCATGGACTGCCACTGAGCTCGGCCCATCACATAATAAATAAAAACAGCAAGTTGCAGGACAACGTGAGCAGTGTGCTATAATCCGTATGCCTATCAGTGTATGCTCTGCACACAAAACACCATCGATCTATTGCGTCTCTCTCTAGAGAGAGACAAGCCAAGATAGTAAAATAGGAGAGGAAACCCACTTTGGTGGATAAATCTGGAGTTTTCTTGACTTTTTTTTTTTTTTCTTCCAAGTACCTGTTACTTTAGACTCTGAAGGAGGAAAACAAGTAAGAAAGTTAAAAAGACACAATGTAGGGAGGATTGTATTTTCCCAAGATGGCTGCCCTCATGCATGCCATCCCACCTGCTTTTCTTGAAATAGGAAATGAGATTCCCTCAGGAGATGGCTCTTCGTTCTCATTGACCTGAGCGGCTTTGGCAAGTTCCTCAGCTGACAGAAGGAATGGAAGAAGGAACGCCGGCTTCCCAGGCTAAGTAACGAAGGCAACAGGTGCTCTGGCTCCTCACCCTTAGGCTGCTCATGCTTGAGGTTCAGAGCCCATGTTGTAGGAGAAAGCTGGCTAAATGTTGTCCCTGAAAGAGGTAGTATGCTACATGGTAATATTTAGCTGGTTGTGGAAATACATTATTCAAGGGCGAGTGTGTGTGCCTGTGTGTGTGTGTGTATACATGTGTGCGAGTACCCTTGAAGGCCACAGCGTGCTGGATGTCCTGAAGCTGAAGTTACAGGTGGTTGGGAGTCACCTACGTGGGTGCTAGGAACCAAAGTCAGGACCTCTGCAGGGGCAGTAATATGGTCTCAACTGCTGAGCCACCTCTCCAGCCGCTAGCCCTGCATTCGCATTCTCTGAGACAGCGTCTCACTCTGTATAGTCCATGCTGATCCAGAACTCAATATACAGCCTAGCCTGGCCTCAAAACTCTCAGCAATACTCCTGCCTCAGTTGGGATTACACCTGTGCAGCCACCCTGCCTGGCTCCTTTCTGGAGTTTGAACTGCCCTTCAGTTCCCAGGTAAGCCCACGGGAGGGACGTCTGTCAGAAGCACTCCCGCCCGGCAGTCCTGGGAGTGGGACGGAGGAGAAGTTGCTGGGTCTCAGAGTAGAGGCAGGCTCCTGAGGAGCATAAGACCCGGTGGCTTCCTGGGGAGGGCCAAGTACAGAGGGCGGGGCCCCTCCTCTCAGCTCCTGTCTGGCAGGTTTCTCATCCAGGATCTGAGGCATTTGTTGACTCCAGCGGTTTACCTTGCAGCAAGAGAAAGTCATTCTCCTGGTACCGGCCACCTGCCACCTGTCCCAGGCCAGGGCCTAGAAGCTGGAGAGAACACATGATGCAGAGGTCCTGTTTGTTTTCTGACAGCAGCGGCAGGCTTTCCGGATGGCAACAGCACTGACTGGCATTCTGTATCTCCTTAAAGGTCACACACAGAAGCCCCACTGACAGACCTGTAAGGATTATGGGCCTGTGTTGCTGGGGGCTGAAATCCAGATCAGTGGCCTGCTGTTTTCAGACCTTATGCTGCTTCCTTTCTTTGGAAAACTGTACCACCTGATGCTGTCATCTCAGAATCCCAAACTCCCGGGGCCTGCACACGGAGGGGATGTCTTTGCACTCTCACATTAACTCTAGTGTCTGGACCCTCCCTCTCAGTCACACCCACCAAATACCTGTGTGTCATCAGCCACGGGGGATTGACACAGAATGGGCACAGGAGTAAAGAGTGCTCTGAACAGCTGCGGAAGACAGACATTACTCAAGTTCTCCCAATGAGAAGCACTGCAACTGTAGACAGCTAACCAGGCTAGGAAACCTACATGGCGGTGGGAACTCATATGTGGCTGAAGTGATCTCATCGGTCAAACCAGGGCGAGCTCTTCCGAGGATCCGGAAGACAGGCTGGAGAGGGGAGTCTTAACACAGTGTGGCGAGAAAACAGTGTTTGCAGCATGAAGAGCTGTGACCAAGCACGGGCAATCAGCAGGGAGACAGAGGGTGCTGCCAGGGGCTCAGACAAACCGCAGGACCAACGCAAGGAGCACAGCCCGGTCCTTCCAGACAGAGCAGTGAAGCTTCTGAGAGAAAGGCTTTTCTGTGGCCCATCTGGGACAAGGACTGGAGGCTGGCAAGTGTGGACATGCAGGAACGTGCAGGAACCCAGGTAAGCCTGGGACGGCTGGGGCTGTGGTGGTGGTAAAGGGAAGTGGGGCTCCAAAGGGTTAAAGCAGCATTTGAAAGCCTGTCCCACCGTGGCTGTAGGATAGGAGCACATTGAGCCAAAGCCAGCGTGGAGCCCCTTATCCCTTTGTAGCTGGGAAAAGGCTGTGATCACAGTGCCATTGCTGGAGGCCTGGACATCCTAGTCTCTACTCACTCCACTTTAAGGATGCTCCGCTCAGCCAGAGGGTGCCAAAAGGAAGGAAGTGCCTCTGAGGGCTCTTTGTGCTGGCCTGATACTCTGTCCCTTTTCCAGCTAAGGTTTGGGAAACAGGCCC